TTGTCGGAGGAGACTGTAGGGAGAAACACACCTGGACACACAGGAGAACAGCACTGGGTGGTATATATAGCAGGAGGAACTCCTAGTGAAAGAGTCGGAAACCCCATGGTTTCTTCATTAATGCAGAATGACTCGGAAATTCACTTAATTCTGAACCTCCGTATCCTCATCTGTCCAATGGGATGGCCAGGTCCCCATTTCCACCCCAGAGGTGGATGTGAACGTGAGTGAAGGACTCCGGTGAATGAACGTGGGGACAGAGTGCAGTCCCACGGGAGCTGGGCGAATTCCCTGTTCTGCTCAGAAGTCACAGAGGGGGAGGAAGTTCGCCAAGCAATACATGGAGAGCTATTGACAAGACAGGCATCAGAGTCCCGACTCACTTCTTCATTTTTAGGGGTAAACCAGGAAAAGGCCCTGTTTAAACTACAGTTTGTATACGTACGTCTGTGAAAGAAATTTGCCATAAATCACCATAAGAAGGATGTAATTGGGGGGAGGGGGGGGCGGGGGAAGCCATTCGTGTGATTTGTTGATTGAGAATCATAACATTAATGCAAGACTTCAATTTTACACATTCATCACAGATGGAGGAAGTTGGGTCCTTGGTGGCAAGGATCCATTTTAACATAGTCACGTAAACAATGGCTATAACACCCCTTGGAGAGATGAGAGAAAAATCTGTAGAAGAATTATAAGATGTAGGTACTGGGAATGGGAAACATTACCTGGGAATCGGCTACTACTTTATCTGATTAAGGAAAGGGAATTCCTGTGCTCGCTTCGGCAGCACATATACTAAAATTGGAAGGAAAGGGAATTCCTATCTTTTTATATTGACACAAAACATATCATACAAAGTCCTGCCTTTGATCACCTGTACAGCGAGGCAATTTAGCTGGTTTTTAAAAATGATCCTATAATTTTCATTCTAGATTCAGATTTAAAGTAGTTTTAGCATTTTTTCCTGTCATAACAGTCACACATTCCTTTATATTAAACATAGACAATTGGCTTATTTTCTTAGACTTCCTGATGCATGTTTTTATAAACTCTTATATGTGTGATTTTCTTTTCATCTTTCTGACTTGATTTTGTGTCATTAAGTGGACGCTGAATTCCAACAACATCTGGATTGTGGTTTCAAGTTGAGAAATCACTCCCAGAGGTTCATAGGTATTTCTTGTATGTGTGTATGTATGTCTGTGTGTTTGTGTGTGTGTTGTGTGTGTGTACTTGTTACATGTAACTCATTCAATTGGAATTTATTTTAGTACATGACATGAATTGAGTCTTTAAGATGACCATTTCCCCCCAGTAATTGATTTAAATTTATAGTTTTATCCATGAAAACAAGACCTTCAATTTTATTATATGCATTTCACAGCTTTCAAAATGGACTTTACTATTTTTCTCTTATCCTGGAAATTTCTCTACGAGGGAGCTTCCTAGCTTCCCTGGGTTCCATGCACTCAATGTCGGTGTCGCCTGTGCAATGACAGCAATCACACTGACCCCCATAGTGACCCCACAGTGAACCTGCACCAAGAACCCCCACCCATGCCAGGCTCCAGACAGGGCTTTCCAGAGAGGGTCCCATTCAGTCATCACAGCCTAATGCTGTCCCATCCTAAAGAGGGGGGTGAGGGGGGGAAGGGGACGGAGCCTTCAGAGAGTTGGGGCCTTGTATGAAATCACACAGGTAGCAAGTGGCAGAGCCCAAACTTAAACCCAGACATTCTGCCACGAAATCCCAGAGCATGGCTTTGGATAACAAAAACTAGGCCTTGTTCCCTGCCTCTGCCATGTGCCAGCTGTGTGCATTTGGGAACACTAACTCGACTTTCTGGTTCCATATCCTCGTGTGATAATAGTACCTGCCCGGCAGGACTGTGGCAAGGACTATGAGACTGTTTCTGTAGAAGGAGCTCAGGAAATGGTCCCACTCTGCTGCTTTGATCCCTTTTATAAATTTCTCCTCCTTGTCCTCTTTGTCCTCCTTCTCATTCCTGTTCCTCATCATTTTAGGCTTTGCAGGACATATGGTCTCAGTCATAGCTGTTCAACCAGGACAGTCTAAACAACAAATAATAAAGTGTTATTGGGATTATAACCCAAAGTATAAGTGAACTATCCATGAGTCCATATTGATATAAATAAATTATTGAATCATTTAATAAATGTGGGAAAAGAGACAAAACCAGTTTGGCTCAGTGGATAGAGCGTCAGCCTGCAGACAAAAAGGTCCCAGATTTGATTCCGGTCAAGGGCATATACCTTGGTTGAGGGCACATCCCCAGTAGAGGGTGTGCAAGAGGCAGCTGGTTGATGTTTCTCTCTCATCGATGTTTCTAACTCTCTATCCCTTTCTCTTCCTCTCTGTAAAAAATCAATAAAATATATATTAAAAAATAAAATAAATAAATGTGGGAGAATAGACCAATCTATTATGCAGAAAAAATTTCAAATAATTTCAGGTCCTCCACCCTCAAGGAAGTGGAATGTAACTCCCACTCCTTAAGCGGGGGCTATGCACAGTGGCTTTCTACCAGAGGACAGGGTGGAGGGGTGGGGTGAGGGAGGAGTGGTCTTAGAACAGGAAATCTGGAAGATCCCACCTAAGCTAGGTGACCCAGGTGAGCAGCTTGATAGTTGGCCCTCTTGATAGGACATGATAAAAATGGCACTTCATCTCTGTGGTCTTCCTCTCAGTGACCCAGGACCCCAGTCTGATCATTACCGGAGAGAGCTGTGTGCCAGTATTATCAGCTTCCTCTATAAATCTGTTTATTTATTTTTTTTTATTCACTTGAAAACATTATTCGGAAAGACACCCCTACGCTTTGCCAGATCGACAGAGGTCTGTGAGGCTCAGACATTGTTAAGAGCTGGTGGTGGGTATGACCGATGATTAGAATTGCTAATTCCTGTGCCCCATTCCAGCTCATCTCATTGTGACCCACAGCCCTGTTCCCTTCCGCTTCAGTGCCTTGGCTTATGCTCTTCTCTTTTCCAGGAAGAAAGGTTCCTTTTATGCTCTGACTCAACGGAAATCTTTTGAGCTTAGCGTCCCCCTGGGTTCTGCAGGCTCTTTGACCGTCCCAGACCCTATAGCCCCTTTGGGAAGGAAAGCTCACAGGTGGGCAGTGGGCAGGACACAGATGACTGATGAGTGGTGGGAGAACCTTCAGGAACAACGGGGTTCTGGTCTTGTATGTACCCAGTGCTGCACTGGTAACACTTAACCGTGGCTCTCTGGGATAAATGTGCTATGCATATATCATTTATTGATATAAGGTTGTGTACATACAATTTACTACTAATAATAAAATGTACACTCCTCTTTTTGCAAATTTCACCTGGCCATTGATGCTCACAGAACACTTTCCTTGATTGTCACTGAGCTCTTCTGTGTGTTGTCTGGATGATGAGGATGTTGCCTTTGATAAGTGAGTGTAGTTCTGATATGGACATAGATTGTTATCTTCATGTGCCTTAATCAGATGAAAGTGAGACAACCAAAGGATGCTGCAACTTCAAGCCATCATTGTTAAAAGTTGGACACTCCTTTGCTGAATCAGATTACAGTTTGAGGGGCTGGAAGAATATTTCCTCAACTTCTTGTGCTGGTCATAATGTAGCTGATACAGACACGGCACATTTTTATGTTTATCTGCGTTGTTATTTTCCTAGCACTTAAGTGCTAGGACAATTCAATAAGAACAATATCCGAAGCCCTGACTTAGAGCATTTGCTAATTTTTGTAGCCAGCTTCAGGCTCCTACCTGAGCGAACACAGTTGGAAAGGCACACACAGTCACCCATCATCATATGGTACTTTCAACAGTTAAACGATGAACATGCATAATGTCAAGCACATAGATAGTAGTAAAATCCAGTGAAAACAGCTAAGAAATGATGAGATTTTTAGTATTGATGACTCATTTTTAATATAACTGATTTAATTATATGTTTATAAAATTTAGCATTCAAAAATGGTGATTTATCACCTAGCTTGCAAAATTCCTGAAAATGCATTAATTAGATCTCATGAGCCGTTATGGGCTGGCTCCAGCTTACCCCTGAATTGGCCCTTCCTTTGCTAAGTGACCTGGGCTGTATCTCTGAACTCCTTGGGGCTCAGGATCTCTCCCTGTAAAGGAGAGCTGTGCCCCAGCTCTCCAAGGTGTGATTCCTGGCACCAGGAGCTTTCCTTCTCCAAGTCCCTTTTAGCTCCTCCCACCCAAACCCACAACGTAGCGCTTCCATAGGTTATTGGCCATTGTTCTAGCCTATGTCATGCATCACTCTTATCCCGCCAACTATATTTCTCTAGGGATTTTAAAAAATAGGTGTTAATTCTCAACATTGTTCTGTATTTTCTCTGACCACACCCTTCAGGATGCTGGACCAGGGCATTTGGTTGGTGCTCAGTAGCCAGGCATTTGTTGACTTGATCTGCAGACTTTGGGGAAGAACATTCTGACAATAAGATATAACATCATAGTGAATGTCTGGGTCAGCAGATAATTTCCTTTTTAGGAGGTCTCTAACAATGGAACAGAGTTTTCAGGGATGATGTTGGATTTTCTTGAAATTAGAGCACTCACATTCTCTTCACAGTTTTTGGCATGCTCCACATACTTTCTTATTCTAAGTCTTTGTTCTCCCACTAACCAAGAAGATTCAGAAAAAGTTTATTTTCTGTGGTTTGGGTGATTTTTTTTTAAGGTTTACTGAATATGCATTTTTTTCAAGCTAACTTACATCTCCCATTGGATTCTGGTTAATGGTGTGGAGTGAGCACCATCTTTCCTCCCCGAGGCAGTGAATCACATTGACAAATGTTCCCGCCAAATCTGATTCTTGTGTTCTGCATGTATTTCTATGGGCCTTTGGTAAGACAGCATTGAAGATGTTGGGATAATTCCCCAGTGTCTGATATTTTCCACCAGCTTTGTGACCTTTATGATCTCAAACCTTTCTGCTTGCATTTTCAGAACCCACCTCCTCTGTTTAATGAAGTCAGCGCTACAGTAATCGAGGCTGAAAAGGTGACCCGCCTGCGGGATGAGCTGCAGATAAAGCATGAAGAGGACTACAAGACAGCCATGAACACCATCAAGGGCAACCTGCAGTTAATGGAAGGTGCAGACATCAAGGAGAACCTCCGAGACCAGATCCGGCACTGGATCATCGAATGCAGGTGAGCACGAGTGGCGTAGAGACCATGCCTGACTGTCTCTTCCATCGCAGTTGAGGGTCTTGCATGTTTTCAGCACAGGAGCACGTTGATGTAGCTTCATAAGGGTTTTTGGCTCCATTGTAGAAGAGTGAAATGTCAAGGTTACGAATTCAGGAACTAATTTTTTGTAATGCAGTTGCTGCTGTCTTTTTTATTAAACAGTTTCTATAATGCTTCCCTGACCCTGTGAACTTGAACATCGTGTGCTCCACCCCCTTTCCTCCTCCAGGCAGTGTGGAGCCTTGCTTTGGGAGAAATAGCTGAGTGACCTGTGTGGGTAACTTCTCCGTGGTCAGTTTCCTGGTCTGGAACAGGAGGACAAGACTTGTACCACGTCAGGAAGTTGTTAGGAAATTCAGAGCTCTTAGACCTCTCCATGTAGATTATTGTTATTCTATTATATTGTGGCCACCTGCTTATTCACACATCTGGCTTAGAACAAAGTGGTACATACAAGCCAGGTATTTGCAGTGAATGGTGTGGGCTACGGTGTCACAGTCTCTCATTCTTATCCAATTACATAATTGTGTCCGGAGGAAATAATCTTAGGATGACTTGTGGGATCGTGGAAATTTAGGGAGAAAGGCATTGTTTCAAATGAATTGTCTTCCGTATAAATCTTGTGGGATTATCATTAAAACCCTCATTTTTATAGTTAATGAGGATGACATGCCCAATGTTCATGAACTTCTGCCATCAGGAACACTCTTCCCTTCTCTCGGGACTTCGGAGAATAGGTGTCCACAGAAATGTTTTCTACCAATGACATTATGCTTTAGTTTTATTTAGACATTTTTTAAAACCTATCTTTCTTGTTGAAAGTATTACAGATGTCCTTCTTTCCCCCCACCCCCACAAACATCGACCCTCTCCTTCCCACTTCCTTCCTCTCCTTAGCCCTTCAGCCCACTGTTGTCTGTGCCCATGGGTTATTCATTTATGCATGTAAGTTCTTTGGTTGATCTCTTCCCTCCCATCCTCCCATTCCCTCTGAGGATCATCAGCCTATTGCATGCTTCCATGTCTCTAGATCTATTTTGTTTGTCAATTTATTTGTTCATTGGGTTCCACATACACATGAGATCATGTGATACTTGTCTTTCTCTGAGTGACTTATTTCACTTAGCATGTACTCTCCAGGTCCCTTCAGTCTGTCTCAAAGGGTAAAAGATCCTTCTTTTTTTTTTTTTTATACTAGTGTAGTATTCCATTGTGTAAATGTACCACAGTTGTTGTTGTTGTTTTTTATCCACTCATCTGCTGTTGGACACTTGGTCTGTATCCAGATCTTAGCTATTGTAAATAACGTTGCTATAAACATAAGGGTTCATATGTATTATTTCTGATGGGTTGCTTCAGGCTTCTTAAGATATATTCTTAAAAGTGGGATCACTAGATCAAATGGCAGTTTCATTTTTAATTTTTTAAGGAAACTTCACACTGTTTTCCATAATGGCTGTACCAGTCTGCCACCAGCAGTGCCCGAAGGTTCCTTTTATTCACATCCTCGCCAGCACTTGTTTGTTGATTTATTGATGGTATCCATTCTTGGCAGGTGTGAGGTGGTATCTCATTGTCATTTTAATTTGCCTCTCTCTGATGATTTGAGCATTTTTTTCATATGTCTCTTGGCCTTTTGTATGTCCTCTTTGAAGAAGTGTCTATGTCTTCTGCCCATTTTTGGATTGGATTGTTTGTCTTCCTTTTGTTGAGTTGTATAAGTACTTTATATATTTTGGATGTTAACCCTTTATCAGATGTATCACAACCAGCATCATATCTAAAGCCATTTCCCCTAAAAACAGGAACAAGACAGGGTTGCCTGCTTTTACCACTTTTATCCAACATAGTACTAGAAGTTCTAGCCACAGTGACCAGACAAGAAGAGAAAATAAAAGGCATCCAAATCGGAAAGGAGGATGTAAAACTGTCATTATTCACAAATGACATGATATTGTACACACAAAATTCTAAAGACTCCACCAAAAAAAATTATTAGATTTAATAAATGAAGTTTTGGCAATGTAACAGTATACAAAATTAACACCTAGAAATCGCTGGCATTTTTATACACCAATAATGAACTCTCAGAAAGAGAAACTAAACAATTCCACTTACCAAAGCAACAACAAAAACTAAGATACTTAGGAATAAACTTAACGAAGGAGGTAAAAGACTTGTACTCAGAAAACTTAGAATGTTGACAAAAAGAGATAAAAGAAGATATAAACAAATGGACGAATATACCGTGTTAATGGATTGGTAGAATTAGCATTAAGATGTCCATACTACCCAAATCTATAGATTCAATCCAATCCCTATTAAAATACCAATGCATATTTCACAGATCTAGAACAAACACTCCAAAAATTTATATGGAACCCAAAAAAGAGCCTGGATAACCTACAGCAATCTTGAGGAAGAAGAACAAAGTTGGAGGAATCACAATACCAGATATCAAGCTATCAAAACAGCTGGTATTGGCACAAGAACAGGCATTTAGATCAATGGAACAGAACAGAGAACCCAGAAATCGACCCAATCCATTATGCTCAATTAATCTTTGATAAAGGAGGCAAGAAAATATAATGAAATAAGGACAGTTTCCCAGGTGTTGGAGTAATTGTGAAAAAAAAAAAATCAAACTAGACCAGCAACTTACACCGTACACAAGAATAAACTAAAAAATAATAAAATATTTAAATGTAAATCATGAAAACCCTTGAAGAAAACATAGGCAGCAAAATATCAGACATCTCATGTAGCAAAATTTTTACTGATACAATAACTAGGGCAAAAGAAACAAAGGGAAAAAATAAACAAAATGGGACTACATCAAAATAAAAAGTTTCTGCACAGCAAAAGAAACTCACATCAAAATGAAAATGGAACCCACTGTATGGGAAAACATATTTACCAATGACATGTAGGCATTTTAAAATTAAATTTATTGTTAGTTGACAAAACAAAGTAGAAAGCACTATGTACAATTATAACCCCAGATAAGCTAAAATACATAACATATACACATATACATACATATATTCATAGACACATTTAACATATTAATCATATGTGCATGGAAATTTTCTGGAAGGATACACTAGAAACTGTTAGCATGGCTACCTCTGGAAACTAGAGCAGTGATGTTGGCCTTTATTTTATATTCTCATGTTCTTTTGAAGTCTTTTTCAATAAGCACTATTTTTATAATGAAAAGCCTAGTTAAAAACATATTAGAAGAAAGACAAACAATGAGTTGGGCATAATCCAAAATAAACATTTAAATTTTAAAACATTCTAATGTTTCAAAAGTGATGAGTGCAGTACCTGCCTGGCACCATTGGAAATCATCTTTTGATTAGAGACTAGGGAGGCATGAGCCGCTACCCCCACCTGAGGTCTGGGAGGGTCATGGGAGTCTTCCCCAGGCCCTGATGCACCCGGAGCCGCCCTCCCGACAGTGCGGGGGCTCTGGGCTCCCTTTGAAGATCCAGCGCCAGCAGGCCAGCCCCTTGAGAATGTTCATCCTGGGGTCACTGACCTGACAGTCTGAGGCCACGTCAGAGCAGCTCCCAGGACTTTGCTGCCTGTAATTCACAAAGATGGAGAGGTTCCTCTTTTGGAGGAATGTAAGGTCGAGGGTACATTTATCTTCTTAATTGGATTACATTGATCTGATTGACTTTGATAAAATCCCTTTCCTTGCTCTTTTAAATCAAAGACACATAAAAAGCAAATATTGTCTTTTGAAACATGAAACATGATCAACCCTCAGGCTAAATTCCAATAGGCCACAGGATGGCCACTTAGGGAATTACTAGAAATTACAATTCGTATACACTCCCACAATTTTAAATACTTATTCTTAGCTCATCTATTTAATACTTACAGTTGCCAAAAAGGGTAATAACCAGATTTTTTTTTTAGTCAATTTTTAAGTTATTTTAAAGGAGGTCTTCTTTTCCAAAGTTAAAAGTAATACATGCTCATTGCAGAAAATTCATAAAACAGAGGGGTTTAAAGAAGAACAATAAAAGCAAATATAACTTTTGTATACAAACGTTGCTACTGTAAAAATCTAGGCAAATTTCCTTGCATATATATTTTAATTGCAGTTTGATGGATTCTTTTTCTAATTTTTAAATTTTTTAATTGGGTTTCCTCATGTCCTTAAAATATTTTTCAAAAGAGGATTTTAATGATTGCTTAACAGCCTAGTGCATGGATACCTTAGTTAATGAATTATTATCTTTTTAATCTTTTGTCAATTGAAAAGAGAAAATACTATCTCAGTAATCTCTTCCCTGTCATTTCTCTGCCTCTTCTTGTGATGCCTTTTTTAAGTGATCTCTAAAATATATATATATATATATATATATATATGACAGTGTCTTATATTAATATAAGACACTATTAATATATATTAATAAGACAGTGTCTTATATTAATTTTTTCTGCCAAAGTTGCGCTAGGTCTTATTTTCAGGGATGTCTTATCTTTCCATGCGCTAGGTCTTATTTTCAGAGGATGTCTTATTTTCAGGGAAACACGGTATATATATATATATATATATATATATATATATATATATATATATTAACAAAGCTTTATTGACATATCATTGCAATAATGATTTTCCAGTTGTCATTTGCCTTTTATTTTTAAACTGGCCAATAGGAAAGCTAGAGAGAGAAAGACACAGAAGAGGAGAAATAAACAGTGCTTAAGAGCCTGCTGCCCAGTGTCTACCACTCACTGCGGCCAGGCTGGCCCTGTGCCCTGGGTGTCCCTGCTCAGAGCCTAGGCGACAATACCTGCTGCCAGGTTGTTGTGGGATTGAATGAGATGCTACAAGTAAAAACTCGGGCCCCACAAGCTTCCTGATGAGGTTATGAACTTTATAGGTGTTTTTCCTATTTTAGATGAGCTTTTCTCCAAATACTATTTTCTATTATTAT